AACAGACGATACTAAACTCAATTTATCCGCCTAAACGTCCGTAGCGTGGCGCTACGGACGGCGAGAAAGTAGTTCGGCTGCCCGATGACGTTTTACGTATTATAGGAGTTATTTTTACCGTTGTTTACGGATACTGCCACAATTTTTATAGGAATCATAACTATAGGAAACGGTTTTATAGGGGGATCTACTGTACTTGATTCCAAGAATTTATAAAATTTATTTTAAACAAAATTAATATTTGATTCAATTTTGTGGAGCATGCTATCAGATCGGCTTAACCTGCTTGTTTTATATTTTGAAACAAAAAAGATTTAGGACTTCACAACAAGTGTGAATTACACTATTCTTGCATCTTGGACTCTTGATAATTCAAAAACTGTTCATTTTTTGACTTTGTGTCTATGGAGACTTTTAATCAGGATAACTAGAACTATAAAATAACAAATCCACCACTAATAGCATACCTATAAAGTCTGTGCAGGTTCCTTCATACCAAAATAACTGCATCATATTTTTTTTTATTAAATTTAATTTTTCCTATTTTTGGTTGTTTTCATTCTTCCTTCTATTACTATATTTATATTCACTAAAGATGGATTTACATGAATATACTGTACATGGCAAATAGGCAGTTTGCTATTTTATTTAATTAAATGAATTTTGTTTTGGTAAAAAAAACTTTCAACTTGATAATATTGTATCAATAGAATAGGAAATTTCAAAGAATATTAAACATTAAAGGGTTTTTACATAATTTTGGCATAATAGTAAAAAAATACACATTAAAAATTATATCTTACAATTTTACCTGAAAAAGTATATAAGACAATTACCTACAGGGCCAATTCTAATACTGTATATTATATATTTATAGAGCTTTATAAAAGTTAAAATTTATTTCTAACTAAAAAAATAATAATTCACTCTTTTAGTGATATAAATAATATATTTTCTTTTAGAAATTATAAATTATTTTAATTGATAACTTTTTATATGACAAAATATTCTGATATAAAATTAATTTTTTCTAATATTTCTGCTCAATTTTTAAATTTTAGACCATCAGATATTTTTATGTAATAATTTATGTTCAATGATAAAAATTATTGAGTGAACAATGTTATTAAGNAATTTTCTATATTGTTCTATATTGCATAATTTTTAAGCATTATAAAAACTTATTATAACTTTATTTATATTACTTTACAATTTATGAATAGTTTCTAATAAATTTTTAAACATTATAGGTAAATAACGCAACAGCTAGAGTACAAACCAAGAAAACACCTACAATTCCAAACGGTAAGTACTTGCATGGAATATTTACATTGAATGTTCTTACTTTCATTCTAATTACTAGTTTAAACGTAATCCGATTTTGTGTTAAAGTGTTTGCACTGATTTCATATTTTTTATTATCCATAAATGTTATTAAACAATAGAAAATTAGATTTAATTTTTTTGATGGCACTGCAGTTTGTGCACTTTTTATACATTTTTAGTAGTCCATTTTATGTGAATTACATAATGCATTGTGTTTGCTTACATTTGTGAATATTTGCTAATGTAGAGAGCATTAAATTTTTTTAGCTTTCCAATAAATAATAATATATAATTTATTATATATGTATATATTATATAACCTAGCAAGTTAATTTTTTTACTTTCTCTTTGCTAAGGAATGATCATTCAATTATTTTATTAAAGTTAAAATATATGAATGTTAAGAATGTCAATTTTACTTATAGATAGAAAAATGTGCACTTTAAAATATTTTATAGAAAATTTCTTCAAGTTTATAGATACTGTATCGCAGGCACTTAACTAATGAATTGATCATAATAGAATCCTATTGAGCTAACTTCCAAGAAAAAATCCTATATATTCCAGATCAAAATTATAATTTTTATCTTGACCGATTAGGTTTGGGTGGTTTATAAATTAAATTTTTTTAGCTATACACAAATTTTATTTATAAAATGTATGACTTAATACACATGATAATTATACAAATGAGCTAATTTTGTTCAATAATAATAAATTAGTTATAAAAATTGCTTCACCATTATCAAGAAATATATTCTTGAAATATAAAAATGATAATATTAACACAAACTGCATTTGCTGCCCTTTGTATACAATTATAATAATAAATGCACTTATTACTATTAATGAATTATTTAATATATAAATTTATCAAAATATTATGAACATAACTATGTGACAATCAAAGTATTAATTTGATACTGTAATTAATTGCACCTGTCTGATGGTAGTGATCTATCCAGTTCTAACAAATGGTAAGTAATACATTAAAAAAGCAACATTATCCAATTTTCATTATAACATTAAATTAAATAATGTAATTCAGTAAATTTTTTTTTAGTACCAAATATTTTTAAGAATAAAATATAAAGTCTCTTTTTGAAATTTTATTTTTATTTAATAATTTAAAATAATTTAAACTACAAGGGATGTTGAAGTTGTTTCTAAATTTTTATGTCTAAAAGTATTCAAACATAAATCTCAATTTTCATCAAATATTTTTTCAATATAAAAAAACAAAATCTTCATTTCTGAAAAGCAAATTTTTTCTTCTGAAATATGTATAGTTAGTTTTTAATAGTTTTAAAGATAAATATAGTGAAATGTCATTATAATGAAATAGTGCTATGCAGGAATGTTACAAATAAATTAAACTATTGTTCTTCACTTCTTCTGAAATTATTATTGGCTACTAAAAACAAATAGCATTTTCTCTCATTCTTCTTAGAGAACATCTTTTGTTATGAATAAGTATATGTTAAGTGAGAAAGCAGCTGCAATCTCTAAAGATATTGATAAATAAAGTTGGAGAATATTATTATAAATAGAAATCATAAGATTAATGAAATTCAGAATACAACCACAACTTTTCTACAGTTTCAGAAAAGAAATAAATTAGGTTTAAAACCACACTTAGAAATGTTTTCAGCCATTTTCATTCAGCCTTCCTCAAGCATTAGCAAAATTGAACAATTTTGTTTTTTGCTAATGCCTGAGGAAGACTGAATGAAAATGGCAAAAAACATTTTTAAGTATGGTTTTAAACCTATTTCGCTGAAACTGTAGAAAAGGTATGGTTGTATTCTGAACTTCCTGTTTCAGTGCAACTGAAACAGGAAGTTCAGAGTACAACCATATGGCTTTTGCCTTTAATTTTTATTAAAAAATAATATAGCCAAATATAAAATAATTTCATTACAATAGTAATCATCAAATCTAAAATATTTTTCTACTAAAAGAACATATAAACACAGTAGAAACTTGATTTTCTGAAACACAGTTTGCAAGTAAATAAAAAGCAGAATGTATAGCAATGTACTGTATATCCCATAGAGTATAATGCACAAAGGCCAAACTCTCCAATCGTAGCACTGTGAAACTATACCATGTAGACATAACATTACATCAGATTTTCAGTAAATTAATTTACCTTCAAATACAATAATTGTACATTTAAAGTTTCATGAACTATAAATATTGTAATGCAGTCATTAATGTACCAAAAACACAAAAACAAACAAGTTTCTGCATTATCTGAAATATCATTCATCCATAAGCCCTAGTCCCTGGTCACATCAAGTTCAAATAATTTTCCACTGTATATATAGAAATGACAGGACTTAGCAGAATTATCTTTATAATGAATATTTTGTTTAGTAATATTCATTAAAATGACATTTCGATATATATATAAATTTGAAATACAGTAGAGCGTCGTTTATCCGAAACATCTGTTATCCGAAAGAATTCCAGTCAACAAATTTAAATTTTTGCCAGTGCTGTGGCGCTGCAATCTTTGGCTATGTCTTTCGGCTACTCAAATACGTTTTTGATACTAAATTAACTTCTGAAGTATAATTTTTTATTGTTTTTATATTTTTCAATATATTTATTTTGTTTGTACAAAATAAAAAAATAATTTTTAACGATACAATAGTCTTCGTTAGGCTTAACATCGACGAAAATTCAACGCGAAGCGACAC